GATTGATTGATTGATTGATTGATTGATTGATTGATTGATTTAACTTATATGCCGCCCATACTACCCAAAGGTCTCTGGGCGGCTTACAGCATTTAAAATACAATAAAAAGGCAAAATAAAAGGGCAAAAGAATTAAAATGCAATTAAAATATATATTCTAAAAATTGCCATCAGACCTACAGCTGATATTATTTTAGTTAAAAGCCATTTGGAACAATGTTGTTATAATCGTCCTAATACTTACTGTTTTACCCGTGTTTATCGATATACTGTATGTTTTAAATTGCTGTAAACCGTCCAGAAGAAGTGCTTCACACTAAGGAAGTGGCACATAACAAATAAATAAATAAATAAATAAATAAATAAATAAATGAATGAATGAATGAATGAATGAATGAATGAATGAATGAATGAATGAATGAATCCATCCATCCATCCATCCATCCATCCATCCATCCATCCATCCATCCATCCATCCATAATTGTGCCCATTCACATGCCACAGGTGTGGGGCCCTCTTAATGCTCAGACAGATCTAGCCTCTTTTATCACCCCCTCCTCAGTAAACCAAGAGGACTTCATACACACTCCACAGATCTAACCCGTCAAGACCTGCTTCCACCTCGCTGTTCCATCGGCTCAACGCCACGGCCTCCTCTCGCGCCCGAGTACCTCCAAAGCATGCAGAGTTCCCGGATCTCTCCCAAGGGCAAACCATTTGAAACGGGTCTCCCCATTTCCCGTAGGGAGGATCAGCTTCTGTCAACCCAAACATCACCCATTGCATTTGCTTTGGAGCACCCCGCATCGGGCGTTTTCTCATTTGCAAACAATTCCCCTAACGCAGGGCCCAAAGCAATTTAAAAATACAAGAACAGAATGATTCACCAAGGATTTAAAACAAAAACCTTGAGAGGCACATTAAAAACAAAACTAACCAGTAACTAAACTAGCAGGACTAAGCGTTCCAAACGAGGCAGTGTTTGGTCACAAATCCCCAAAAAGCACCAAAAAAGTGCGACTCTAGGGTAAATATGTGTGTGCTTGAAACTTGCAAGGCAGGAAAAGGCCAGATTTTGAGCACTCACGATCTTAAGGGCACAAGTCAAGATTCTCCACTAGCCAGGGGACCCTAGCAAACTGTTAACAGGAGGGAAATAATTCTGCACCCATTCCGTAGCTTCCGACAGACTGCCCCTGAATGGGGAGGTTCACAAGGGAAGAAACCACCACAGATTCATCAGCTGTGCAATAAATATTTTCCAGACGCTCATTCTTCCAAGCCTGCACGTCTTGTCTCTCTGGAAACAAAGGCATGTTTGAACGGTGTAGTTGAGCAGGCTAGCCACCTCAAATTTCAAATGAAAAGGCTGGAGATTTGCAAGAGGAGAATCCATAAGCTGTCCTGCTTGGGATATTTCCCCTTATTCCAGCTCCCCCCCCCCAAAAAAGCCTACTTTTTCAAAGAAAAGCAGTTGATAGATACATTTATAACATGCAACTCCCTGCAGACAGAAAGCTAGAAGGTTAGTACCTAACCTCTCCCTGTCATCCTTGTTTTCTATATGCAGAGATTTAAAAAAAACCACACACATACATCGGGAAGAAGTTTTCCAAAATGCAATACCTGCTCGCCCCCAAATCAGGCTGCATCACCTGCTCTCCATCCCTGGCCTTTTTATCTGTGTCCTTTGCTGGGGACCCTTTGCCTCGGGGATAAAAAAAAACCACAGCAGGCGGTCACAAGGTCATCGGAGGCCATCACCTGGACTGGCCGGCCAGCCTGGCCGTCCTTCCTTTGCCCTTCCTGAGCCAGCCCCCCGGGGTGGCTTTGCCTGGAGCCTCAACAAGGAGCAGCTGCAAAGGGCACCCAGGTGTCTCAGATCATCCCACCCTCTCTGGGACACAGGCTAAAATGGGCCAACTCAGGGTGTAAATCCTGACCCGAATCATCCCTTGTGCAGCAAACAGGAAGGCTTTTTTTAAAAAAAAATTAAACAATTAAAAAAATTAACACAACCTGCTGAGAGGTCCCTTCTCTTGGTTGATTGGTCAAAGATCAAAAATCTGCAAATTCGGAGCAGTGGATTTTGTGATTTTTCTGCAGAGGACTGGGCGTAATAACTGTTGCTTTATTGCATTTGTTTGTCAAAGGCAATAGCAAGTTTTAACAGCGAGCAATCAGAGACAGCGGAGGAATGTTTGCTGTGTAATTAGGAAAGACTTCGGCTTAGAAACTGGAGTTTTGCACAAGCTGTATTTTACACCAACTGCAAAAAAACACAAACCAAAACAACTGCCAGCTGGTCAGATTTCACTGCGCCATCTCTTTAATGCAGACTCCCTCCAAGAGTCTTGCAGGCTTGTATTTGGCATGCAACTGGCAAGCAATTTATTTGTACCCTTAAAAACCTTGCACCCTTTCTTATGCTAACTCAACTCTTTCCCCAGTTAACCCTGCGACCTGCCTTGGTTTCTTTTTAAGGAGAAAGGCGGGGTAAAAATATTTTAAATAAATAAATAAAATATATTTAACGACTTGAATGTTCAGAAAAAAAACCTTCTGTTCTCAAATTTATTTAGCAAGCAGGCATGTATACAAAAAGCTTCATGTTGCAGGCATATGTTTGTATAATAATGGATATATATTTCAAAATGTACAATTTTCTTATACAACAATTCATGTACTGTATATATAGAGTATTTAATTTAAAATGAATAACTGGCAAAATAAAACAGTATCTTCTATATTACAGCTTAAAATTTAAACTTAATATTCAAAAGACACAATGCTAAAAATTACATTCTTAACGTCTAAAAGGAAAAAACATGTAAACTTTCACAAAAGTCACTGTTACAAGTTACTTAAAACTCTATTTAAGTATGTTTAAATATTATAAAAGCATGACATAGAGGAGCATAAGGCATTTCAAAGTTCCCATTATGTAATTTTTGCCCATTCCTGGTAAGAGATTTTCTCCCCCTCTCAATGAAAAGCAAAACATGTTCCTTACTCTGTTCCAAAACAGTGTGTAATCTCCCTCCCCCCCCCTCAATGAAAAGCAAAACATGTTCCTTTCTCTGTTCCAAAATAGTGTGTAATCGCCCTATTTTTATATCCCTCGTTCTGGGCA